GCAACGATTAACCGCAAGCTAATTGCTAGCACAGTGTACAGCGACCCTAATGTGGAGTAATTACTAGTGTGCATAATAAATTTTTACTTGTAGCGAATTTACTGTTAATGAGTATTGACGTGGATGTGCATATGTTATCAGGAAATGGTAGCCTCTATTTTCCGATATAGTTGGGTCTCAGATACCTATTGTTAAACAGAAGCAGTCCGCATAATTCCAGTCACGTTGTCAGCCCTGATCCAAGTTATATATGACAGGGAAAACGTATCAAGTTAGACCGAGGTCGCCGTTTTGGGTCGGTCGGGTAGTCCAGTGGTTAACGCGTTGGAAGTCACGCTGAAGACCCGGGTTCTATTCCCCACATTGGTACAATGTGTGAAGCCCCGCCGTAGTGTCCCCCGCGGCTAAAAACCATACCCCCACATACATGCGGGAAATCGAAAGTGTTTGACATCATGAACCTATATAAGCTTGACTCACCACAGATTCGCACACGTGTATGTATCCTAGGGACAAATCACATTTTCTTTCTGAAGCGAAAAGGTCAAACGGGCATAGTACTTGAGCGCCATATACAGCAATAGTAGAACTAGGTCATGTTAATCAATTGGATCAGCTGTGATGTATAGCTGCTGGCTGTGACGATAAACAACACTCAATCAGTAATGCATTTGGAACACGCCATGACATACAAAGAAATATACCTCCATGGCTCGATTTAATTAACCTGTTTTAACTTGCACCATCTGCATGTTGACATAAAACCTACTTGCCTAGAAAAAAACAGGTTGCACCCTGCAAAGTTGAAACATCCACTGTTTGGTGACGTGTTCAGATTGATTTCGTGTGGACATGTAAGAGTTACACACAAATTTGAATGATTTTGACATTCGCATGGTGCATGTAGATATAAATATTAGGGTGCGTTTTTCATTAAAGGGTTGCACTTGTGCATGTTTGAATTAGCTAAATCAAGCCAGGACCTTGGATATGTATGTAACAGCAACATAGCAAATTCACTACTCTCCTCGATGATCCACTGTTTATATATATATATATATTTCAGTGTGAAAGAGTGAGTTTTCAGAAGTTGAGAAAAGTGATATTTGCATTGCAGAGAACATAATACTTGATATTTCACTGCAGTGAACATAACATTTAACATAACTTGACGGAACTATTGTGATACAAGAGTTACCTCCCCTTAAAATTGTCTCCCTTTGTCGTAAGTGACTAGTCCGTACGCAAACTGTTGACGTTCTTTTAACGTTAGGTCCACATTGACAAGGCAAAATAATGACAGATGGTCGTTTATGGAGTTAATATCATTCTTGCCGTTTGTTATTCTCTCGAAAATGTTTCCTTATAAACTGTAAATTTCTCATTTAACTAGTCAATCGAGACTGTTCGTTTCGCAAAGCGCCATTTTTTTTCTCTTGGCCAGCATGACTGTATTCTTTCGCTCCCAACAGTGGTCTCCTAGTTTTCAAGAATAATTTTTGTTAAAGTTGATTTTGTTTATAATCATATCTAAATGTATGATAAAGAATTTGTGTGATTTTAATGGGTTTTTTTTATACTTTTGTTTATATTTTTTAAGATTTTGCAAACGCGAAACTACTTTTAAATTCGTAAATACAAGGGGTGGTAAACCGTCCCTGTATGTTAGGTAGGGAGAATTTACGTTTCAAGGTTTTACATTTGTAATGAAATAATTTAATTTTCTGGTAGACAACTACACAAACAGTATATATTATATATAATAAATAGTATTCTCAGTCTTGCTTGACAACGGTATAAGGATCTATGCCAAAACGTCGCATTTACAGTAAAAGTTGTTATCCATAAATTGTGTCTACTCTGTAGTACTCTAACTAGAAACACGTACGAAGCATCTCGTTTGCCTTCCCGCCACAAGCTGCGCTGTGACACGGTATCTGATATACAGCGACTGTGTCACAGTGCTGCAACGTGAGTCACAGTGACCCGACTCGCGCAGGACACGTGAAACAGATTGGTAAGGAGTGGACTGTTGGGCATTATCATCGTACGCAGTGTGTAACAATCCTTGCTTAAACTACAATCCCAGCATGGCTCCCTGAAAGTGAAGGCCAATTATCTGTCTTAAAGCAAAATAAAACAACGTTTTCACGACATTTGAAGGTTCACCTATGACGAACCAGGTTTGTTCATTAACAACATATACAAGCTCTTTTTTGTAATCCCAAGTAAGCATAAATGAGTGAGTGAGTGAGTTGGGTTTAACGCCACTTTTAACAGTATTTCAGTTATATCGCGGCGTGTCAGCTTAATGTGGGAGGAAAGCCCGAAGTGATGCAGGTCTCAGACGTTTACCACTTCGGTGAAACTCACGAGCACGGGTATGGTGCTGACAAACCTAGAACCGGGATTCGAACCCACAATCATAGGTTTCTGGCGTGCCCAAGGAACGCAACTCTGCACAGCGAATCGCGTCGCCTCGAACGACTGGGCCACCCGTGCCCCCTAAGCATAAATGAAATTAGACATACGATGTTTTGTCTGTTGAACTTTTCTTGGGTAGCCAAGTGGTGTACAACGCCACGACTGTATTAAGCAGCCAGGTTCAATTGCAGGACCCCCCTCCCACAATCTTTTATTCACCCTCTGTGTTTGTAAGTATTCAACCCAATTGTGTTCCAACAATTCTGGATATTCGAGACTGTCCCTATCGGAGCTGCACCAAAACCTACCGGAGCCGAGTTAGATATATTTGACATTGCTGGATATAGGGGAGGGAGATTTTAAAGGTGTAGAGACAAATTCTTATTGTCAGCACATGCACGTTTGGCACGTCTGCAAGTTCTTGACATGGCGCATATTTTGCAGCAACATATGTATGTAATTCCCCGTCATGTCAGTTATCACCAAGCGTGTTCAGCAGACAGCCGCCGGAACCATATCCCAGGTGGCAGTAATATACAGCGAACGTATCGTGTTGCCAAGTCTTTCTGGCAGTGTTTTATATACGTGTACTTTACGTATTGCGCATGTATTGTATTGAAATGTTTCAACCTTTAAATTACAGCTGTGTATTCGACTGCGCTGCTTTCAGCAGAATATTAATTGACAATATTTTAAAGCCTTTGCCTCAAGTTTTATTAGTTGTGAGGGATTGGTAGCTTCTGGGTCACTCCAGTATGTTTTATGTAGTTCCTTGGTTCAAGTCAGCTTACACATGATTGGTCTAGATCAAATTCTATTCTAGCGCTCAGCATTTCACCAGCATGCCAGCCATAACATCTTGACCTATTCACGGACCACAGCCGTCCTCTGTATAGAAACTGTACACCCCCATGAATTAGTTTTAAAGTTATAGGTCGCACAAATGTTAAAGTTTAAAAATATCAGTTCAAAATACGCATATCAAAATTAAACTTTGCACATCATCTCCTATTCGTATAGAAACTGTACCCCAAATTTGAAAAGAATCCATGCAGTAGTTTTCAAGTTATAGATCACACAAATGTTTAAGCAAAAACATCTACCGTAAGTCAATGAAAAAGACGTCTTTTTGTTATAGAAAATTCAAACATTGAAATTAAACTTCGCCCTGCACCTTTCACAGTTCGAAAAAAAATTATGTAGTAGTTTTGAAGTTATAGGTCGCACAAAATAAATGTCCTCGGACCGACGAAGTCCTTGGTTAACTACATACCCACCACCAATGTCAGCTGACTTGAGACTTTAATCACGATAGTGTAGCACAACCACTATACATTGCATGTGACTTATCCTTACATATCTACGAAAGTGTATATCATTAGGAAGCGGGTTTCTTTGTTCAGACTTCACCACATTACGATAGGCTGTCCGAGGGTTTTGTTCCGTGAGAATACTAAAAGTACCTGCTTATCTGATTTGGTTGGTTGGTTGGTTGTTTAACGCCGCAATATTCCAGCTATATGACTGCGGTCTGTAAATAATCGAGTCTGTACCGGACAATCCAGTGATTAATTTCGTAAGCACCGATCCACGCAATAGGGGATCGATGACATGCATCAACAAGTCAGCGAGCCTGACCACCCGATCCCGTTAGACGCCTCTTACCACAAGCAAAGTCGCCTTTTACGGCAAGCATGGGCTGATTGTCTGAGCGTGAATAATGTTGTTGCACTGCAGTCATATACATACCAAAGGATTTCTCACAATCACATTTGAATACGATAAAGTTTAGTTAGTTAACCGAGGCGTCCCTCCCGAAAGTGAGTGAGTTTGATTTTACACCGCTTTTAGCAATATTCCAGCAATATCACGGCGGGGGGACACCAGAAATGGGCTTCACACATTGTACCCATGTCGGGAATCGAACCCGGGTCTAGGCGTGACGAGCGAACACTTTAACCACAAAGCTACACGACAGCCCCTCCCTCCCGAAAGACAAATAGCCCAGATCTGAAAGGCTCTTATTTGAAAAAATACATTGATCATGCCCATTTGTGCAACCCCTGGTAGTCGGGTGGGTAGAATGCACATGCATTCTACCCTACTCTATGACCCTCGTTCAACCTATTCCAGGCGTATCCTGGCAGAGATGAAACCAGCGAGGAGCTTCACACACTGTATCATTATGGGGAAATCGAACCTGGGCCTTCCCGGGTAATATAGCAACCCGTGCTTATCGTAAGAGGCGACTAACGGGTTCTGGTGGTCAGCCTCACGAACAAATGTCATCGTATCCTAATTGCGTAGATGATGTTCATGTTAATCTCGTCCAGACCGCCATCATATATAGCTGGCATATTGTACTAAACAAACTGCCAATTTCGTCAAATAAGACATTTAGTAACCATATTTTCCTGAGTGTAAAACAGCTATTATGTGCAATATCCCAGCTATATCAGGGTGGCCTGTAACTCTTGTAACGCCTGGGTCAGTTACGTCACAAAGCATGCTCCCTATACAACACACTTGAGGTTGTGGCACACAGCTTCAAGCTCTATTATAAATCAAACCACTTCCCCTTGACACCTTGTTTATTCATTTTCTTTATCACATTTTTCGATGACAGTAAAACTGTTCAGCACTGATTTCCCAGTGAATGTTTGCAACATGATCACTTGAAGATCTTTCCCTGGTTGACCTTCTTGCCATCAAAGTTGCCCTCCCAGGTGAAGTACTCCTGCACCAAAGTCTTCGTCTTGGCATCATCCGGGTTGAGCTTGGTCCACTTGTAGGACTCAAAGTCTATCTGCCAGTCCTCACTCAACTGAAGCACAAAGCAGGTATCACGTCAAACTAGGGTTTGCAGCCATAGAAACAAACCGTTTTAGTCCACTAGTTCTTATAATGACAACATATAGCAAAACACTTAATAATGGCAAATTTCTACTTGTCCTTATGATTTCTTAACTTTTGGGCAGTGCCAATTTCTAAGCTGGTTTGTTGCCTAATGCTCCACTTGGCAATATTCCCGCAGCATGTACATAATTTGGACCAGATTGATATTGTGAACGATCCGTGCCATGACACCTATTCTGACCTATGTTTGTCAGTTTATTTTATGACAAATCTTCATATTTTTTCTATTTATATGGGTAATTAATGTTACATTTGTACTTGTAGGTATTTTGCACATTTGATTTATGTGTATTTATTTCAACAGGGCCTCATTTGGGCTTCACAGGGTTAATTTCTTCATATGTATTAAAACAGCTGACATCCAAACAGCAACCTGTGTTTGTGCAATTGTCTTCACTGGTTACAGTGGCAAGAGAAGAATTCTCATATCCAGCATTCCACATAAGCTTACCTCAAAAGCCAGTTGAGGTCCTCTCCAGAACCAGATGCCAGAGATGCTGTTTGTATTGTCTCCACCAAATATAACCATACTTCCAAATGCATTTTTTCTCATCTTGTCAAGACGCTGGAACATACCTGCAGATTCAGAATTGACATCGACTTGACTAAAAATATTTCTATTGAGAGGAAATATATTGATGCCGTTCGGCACAAACCTGGCTCAAGCCCAAACTTGCCATATGAAGTGCCAAACCTTGGACTAATGCTGAATCAAGGTGAGCCACAAACTAGGGGTTCCCAAAAACAGAAGCAGCCCTGTCACTGCCACTGACCTCAAAGATGAAGTAGGATTTGTTAACATGCCTGTAAGATTTGTTAACATGCCTCTAGAAGTAACCATGCCTGAGATACTGAAAATGATATAACCATGAGCTGAAGTTTGTTTGTTTGTTGTTTAACCCCGCACTCCGCAATATTCCAGCTATATGACAGAGGTCTGTAAATAATCGATTCTGGACTAGACAATCCAGTGATTAATATCATGAGCATCGATCCACGTAATTGGGATTGATGACATGCATCAACCAAGTCAGCAAGCCTAACCACCCGATCCCGTTAGTCGCCTTTTACGGCAAGCATGGGTTGCTGAAGACCTATTCTACCCATAAATCTTCAAGGGTCTCCATGAGCTGAAGGTAGACCCCGACAGAATTTGACCTTTTCAAATCAGGGCCCCATCCAAGCTTTACATGCATTACTTTGCGAGAATATAATCATGTTTTTTTGGTTTTATAACCCTGGCCTTTGACCTCACAAAATGTGACAAAAGAATTCCACAGGTCCATGTGTAAATTCCAAATGTCAACCTCTGCACCATATTGAGGTGAAAATAATAACTTCCATGACATATTACACACCTTGGTATAGTCTTAAGACAAATAAAAAAGACACTCATAGTGAGTGAATGCTATTTCATGTTATGCCTGCACTGTTTCAGCTGTATCACGACTGTACAAGTGGTTGATAACATGAGCAGTTATCCATGTGGTTGGTGCAGGTTCCAATATCCTCATACGTCAACACTTGGGTGGTACTGGGAACTGATTCTACTTTTTTGTTTACACCCCACTCAGCAATATTCCATCTATATGACGGCGGTCTGTAAATAATTGACTCTGGACCAGGCAATCCAGTGATTGACATCATGAGCATCAATCCATGCAATAGTGAAATGATGACATGCATCAACCAAGTCAGCAAACCCGTTAGTCGCCTCTTACAACAAGCCTGAATTACCATAGGCGGCACAGAAAGAACTAGAGGTATTTCAAGCTCAAACAACCTTCATTACTAGATTTGCTTGTCGATTCTTCATTTCTTGCTACGTTACACGACCAAAAAGTATGCATGATACAAATGACATATTTGTCCGTGTTCAAATACACACCTGAAACAAGATTGCACACCATAAAGGTTTTCTTAGAAGACAGGTCTTGTGTGTATTCACAATGCCAAATAGAGTACTTGTCCTTCTCAAACTTGTCCCAGAAGTATGGCAAAGCAACTTTGTCTGTGTCCTCATTGGAGTATGTTCTCTTGAATTCATCAAAGTCAAAGTTCCTGAATTAAAGAAAAGGATAAATCTTAAATTAAATTTAATTTAACTTGGCATAGATTCAGTATCATGGCTTGATATGGAAACAGACACCATAACTGCAATAACATTATAGAATTCTGACACAATGAGCGGAAGAATTGTATCTGAAATGATTATTTTATAAGAAATAATTTATTCCAATATCATGTTATTTTATTTGCAGCTTTATATATATATATATAGTGCTTTACTGTGCCTTACATATATATATTATATATAGTAATAATTAATTAAGCGGAGTAAGACTGAACACAGTTTTAATTGGTTAGCGCTTTCAACTACGAGTCATCAGGCCATAACTGAATAAAGGACATGAAGTAGTAACAGTTATGTGACATCATAACATTTAGGATAACTATGACGTCACACTACCAAGGTGACAATGGACAAATAACTTACGCCTTTACATTTAACTTAGGCGCGTATTTATGAATAAAAAGTTGCCGCTTCCACATGTATCTAAATGTTCAGAGTGGAATCGTGCGGTTGTGTGGCTGCTTTATTTATGACGGTGAAGATTCATTCTTCTTTTTAATTTAAGTTCTGTCTTTCCGATATAATATATATATGTGTGTGTGTGTGTGTGTGATTGTGTGTGTGAGTGAGTGAGTGAGTGAGTGAGTGAGTGAGTGAGTGTGTGAGTGAGTGTGTGTGTGTGTGTGTGTGTGTCCATGACACAAGTGGTACAGCTGATACCTATTGCCGGATACTTTTTCGTATGGGAGGATTTGACCAATCACCATCGATGCTCCTTTTGCGAAAACCTTTTGCTGACATATAATAGTCAAACTACAACAAATATGACTTTCAGCGAGTGAATGTATGGCCTTTTATGATATATCCTCTCTCTATCCACTTAAGTTCGTTTCAAGGCGTCAATAGTGGTAATATGACCGTGGTTGCTGTAAATAACTGCTGTAAATACGATTTTGCCGAAATGAATTGAAACAATATTGAATGTGACTTGGAATAAAATTAATAAAAAAGATTACAAACATAAGTCCAGATATAAAATGAACTCTTTTTACAACCAGACAGTGTAATTACATGATTAATTTGTGTACTTCCGTACGGATTTGTTGACATGGTATTTTCGGTGTTACATGCTCACAGTAATGTCATTTTGTTGGGGAAAAATACTCCCCCCTCTCCCCCTAATTCTAGTTACGAAAAATTTGCCTTATATGCAGCAATATACGGATTTGGATTCCTACTAGTTTGAAATCAACACACCCCTCCCCCCAATAAAAGCTGCCTGCCCGCCCGCCCGCACAATATTCTCAAAAGCCCTTGCCTGAGAACCAATTCTTTTATTTTTTTAAGCCTTAGTAAAAAATTGCTAACATTGATAATATTTGAACATTTTGGTGCAATGAAATCCCAATTGCATTACATGAGAGGTATGGTCATGTTGGATGGTTTAGGAGTCCAGTCACAAATACTAGTGATGGACACTCGGCCAACCAATTATTATATCCTCTTTAAACTCACAAGACCAACAGTGAAAGAGCAAGTCTCACAGAGGAATCCTAGACATCAAGGTAGAAATGTTTTTCATTATGAAAATAACAGTTGTTGTCAGGACAGTAGGACTTTCAGACTATGAGAGTGAAAGTTAGGTTACCCTACAGCTTAAAATGGCACGGCATACCAAGAATGAGCTTCACATTGTACCAACATGAGTAATAACCTTAGGCGTGGCGAGCCAATGTATCAATCACTAGGTTAGGTTTCAATGACCCCAGACAAACAGTTTCAATGTAAACAAAAGAAAAGCATTAAGGACAGTTTACATAAAACAGAAATGGGTCTCACCCTTTGGGGAACTGTGCAAAGGGGTCTTTCTTCTCAGGTCTTGGTGCCTCCTCTGCCTGGAAATTCAAATGAATATGAAATTTAATGTGGTGAAATTCCATTTCATGAAAGCTTATTCTAACAATATGTTAATAAATGTCAATCTTTGCCCAAAAATAACTAGTGAAAATATAAAAAATAAGAATTTTCTACTTTCCTGAAGGACAGCAGATAATGGGGCAAATAGTCAAGTGCTTAATATTTACTCTGCTTATGTTTGTAGTTTTGAGATAACACTCATTTTACAGGATACCTTATCTCTTTCAAAAACTTATAATTGATTCATGTAATCCAAGTCATGTGACAAACCTCAGCGGGCTTTTCCTCCTTGGGTTTCTGGGCCGGCTTGGCTTCCTTCTTGCTCTCCTTCTTGCTGTCCTTCTTGCCTTCCTTCTGCCCTCCGTGAAGGTCTGCATACTTCTTGGCTAAAGGAATGACAAGGCTTGAAATTGGTGGTAGGAAGTAGAAAACATATATTTTAACTTTTAAAAAATGTCTCAATTAATTGATCAAATTACCTTGGGGTGTATGAGCAAGTTGGGTTTAACACCACTTTGATGCTTATTCCAGTTATATCACGGCATGTCAGCTTAATGTGGGAGGAAAACCCTAAGTGACACAGGTCTCAAGACGTTTACCACTTCGGTCAGACCCACAAACACGGGTATGGTGCTGACAAACCTAAAAACATAACGGTCAGTATCTTCCTCCAGTGCATATGACCCGTGAAGATTCAGGGTAGAAATTACGAATCTTCACGGGTGCTGGTGCCATGAGTGTGTGGGTATGGTTTTACGCCGCTTTTCCAGCAATATCACTGCTAGGGACACTAGAAATGGGCTTCACACATTGTACCCATGTCGGGAATCGAACCCTGGTCTTCGGCATGATGAGCTAATGCTTTAAGCACTAGGCTACCCGATGGCCCCCTGGTGCTTTGAAATCCCACTGGCATGAGATAAGGTTTATGGTCATGTTGGAAGGTTTAGGATTCCAGTCACAAATACTAGTGATGGATACTCGGCCAACCAATTATTATATCCTCTTTAAACTCGCAAGACCAACAGTGAAAGAGCAAGTCTCACAGAGGAATCCCAGATGACCTGCATTGCAGTAACACCTCGGATAACAGCTAATTTCAGGTGACCTCAAAAGACTTATCTACTTTTTGCCATACCGTAAAATGTTATTGTTTAATGACATTGTTGTTCGTCAAATATTCTGTTTGATCATGATAATATTAAATCAGTTTCCCTTAGTGATGATCATGATTTTCATAACAAATGTCCTTATTCCAAATGGAGACATTTATTTTCATTTCCAATTTATTAACAGTAGAGCAAAATTGAAATGTTATCAATAAAAGCCCCAAGACAGATAGGTAAAGGGGAGCACGGTCAATATACATACCATCAAACTGAGCCATCTTGGTGCAGAGTGCGAAGTTCTTGACGACTGCCTTGAACTCCTTCTGGTTGATCAGTGTTGTGAACCACCGATTGACGTTGGGGAAGGACTTGCGGAAGTCAGGGTCCAACACCTACATGACACAGTACAGTACAGAGAGATGCACTATATTTCATAAATTATTGCCACTTTTCATAGTAACAATTTTCTAACATTGATAATATATAACATTTGAACATGGTGTTATGAAATCCCACTGGCATGAGATAAGGCTTATGGTCATGTTGGATGGTTTAGGATTCCGGTCACAAATACTAGTGATGGAAACTCGGCCAACCAATTATTATATCCTCTTTAAACTCGCAAGACCAACAGTGAAAGAGCAAGTCTCACAGAGGAATCCTCGATGACGTACATTGCAGTAACACCTCGGATAACAGCTGATTAGTGATATACAGATCTTATCAATCTGAGCAGCTTCTATTCAGGTGAAGCAGCAATGAAAGAGCAAGTCCCACAGAGGAACACCCTACATTGCAGCTACAACTCTTTCAAACGTAGCTACATGCACTAGACAACTTTCCTTTATAATTGTTTCCAAACAACCTTCCATGATGGTGTACAGTCAACCAGTCTGTACATGCATGGTGTACCCTCAACCACATTGTAACCACCAATCACCGCCTTGGTTAGCTCTAGTCTTTAAAGTGAGTGAGTGAGTTGGGTTTAACACCGCTTTTAACAGTATTCCAGTCATATCACGGCGTGTCAGCTTAATGTGGGAGGAAAGCCCGAAGTGATGCAGGTCTCAGACGTTTACCACTTCGGTGAAACCCATGAGCACGGGTATGGTGCTGACAAACCTAGAAACATAATCGGGGCGAACCGGGATTCGAACCCACAATCATAGGTTTCTGGCATGCCTAAGGGACGCAACTCGGCACAGCGAATCGCGGCGCCTTAGATGACTGGGCCACCCATGCCCCTCTAGTCTTTAAAAGCTCCACGGTGTACTCACATATTGGTAGAGCTGGATGAGGTTGCAGGCGACGCTGATGTCAGCCTGAGAGATGCGCTCACCGACGAGGTATGTGCGAGTCAGAAGAACATTGTTCAACACTTCCAGGGCTGTGCGGATCTGCTCCTTTGCTCTCTCTGTGTCCTGGCAAGAGATGTTGCATTTGATTACAATAACAACAACCATAAAAAGGAAACAATATGATAGAGTAAGTTGGCAACAAACATTCTTTCATGAATTATATATCTCTTACCAAGGAAATAGTTTTTCATTTTTCATGTTTCCAACACAGAATGGTGTACATTTCACCACAAACAAAAAAACAAGGGACTTAACTCAATAGGAAGACAACAAAAAGTCAAGTCCCCTTGCTTAGTCTTATTACAATATCCTAGTTTTGCAGTTATAATGTGCAAATTCAGATCTTAGGAAAAAAAGGAGAGCACCCACTCTGCAGAAGGGGACTGGTCCACCACCCACCTGTTTGTTGTACTGAACAATGCCGAGACAAGGGAATACCCAGGTGCAAGCGGCTGGAAGGATCTCATTGTCTGCAAAGCAGGTCCACTGCTGCACCTGGGCGGCGGCCTCAGGGCTGCTCCCTCTCAGCTGGTTGTTACCCACTGAAACATGGAACAGACACAATCATGCTTTTCGTCCAAAATCTATTCATGCTTAAGGCAACACAGTTGGCAATGAAATGTGGACAAGCGGGTTGTTACAAATGCAATAACCTCTGAATGGTCACATCCAACTAGTCACCGGCTATTTGCCGACTTGTGGTTTATGTAAAGTACTGTAAATCGTGAAATTAATGCGTCTCCAAAGAATGTGACCACTGGCCCCTTGCCAAAAATGTGACTCAATTATGTCAATATGAATGTAACACCCCCCTCCTCTCAAGCATCAGTGGATTTCTATCTAAAGAAAATGTCCTCTGTCAGGTTTAAAGGAGAATCCACACATTAATCCAATCATACACCAAATAGCACCGCTTATTAGGGCTGAGTAGAGTACTTCCGCTAAAACAATACATGCGTGCTAGCTCATGTCGGCCTTTGACGCAGTCGCAAAGAACAAAGACACCAAAGATCTTATTAGCATTAATAATAGAAATGTATTGGTTATGTTTTCACAGGTTTTATCAGAAAAACACTTGATATTATGTATTGATAAATCTGGCTACTAATGAAACCAGTTGGCTCTACAGGCTTTTCACTTGGGAGCCAAATGGCACCCAAGGGAAAAAGTTAACCAAGAAGGCTTGTCATGAAAGATACTTACCATATTGAGCAATAGCATTGCTCTCAAACAAGTTTAATCCATTCTTTGACTGGAATGCAGGGACCTGGAAAAACAAGGTTGACAGAATATGAAAACATTTGTAAGCTGCTGTAAAACAATAACACGAAAGGTTGCCACATGCCTGGAGTGGTAGTGGATATGATTTTAAAAAAATGTTTGTTTGTTATTTATTGCAGTCTGCAAATAATCATTCTGAACCAGACAATCTAGTGATTGACTTCATGACTATTGATCCACGCAATTAAGATGATGACCTGCATTAACCAAGTCAGCGAGCTGGACCACACGATCCCGTTAGTCGCCTTTTACTGCAAGAATGGGTTGTTGAAGACCTATTTTATCCTAGATCTTCTCACGGGTTTAACAAATGTAGTGCAAACAACATTTTACATGTTATGTAACACAGGTGCTTCTGCTTGATACAGATAGTATGCTGTGCAATCTATTATGTAATATAACCATTTGCCCATCTGATAGAAAAATAGTTCTTAATACAAACATTACAAATTTAAAAAATACAACTAATTTCATGACCCACAAGTGATTTGAAGTTGGTCTAATTGTACACACATTGAACATGTTGAACACAATGTCCCTTAATACTACAAATTACTGAGGCTTTGTCCTAATATGATTTACTGCCTGGACTGGTTTGTAGGAGAAATGTTATGCAAACAGTTGACACTACACCTTCACAGCCAATTTCATGATGCAGTGTTAGATAGGCAAGAATATGATTACATATAGTTACAAGAACCTTCAAATCCTGCTAATCTCTTTATGTTCCTCCAGGTCTTACACTTGGGTCACAGAAGTACACAAGTGCCTTTGAAGGAGGGTGTTTCGTGGCTGACTCAGGCTAAATACTCATGCAACTGTCACGTAATACCAGGGTTAGAAACAAACAGTTTTTGTCCACTAGTCCTTATAATGATAACATATAGCAAAACCCTTAAAATGGGCCAATTTCTACTAGTCCTTAGGATAACTTTACTATTGGGCAGTTTGGTAAGGACTACAGGACTAGTGCCAATTTCTAACGCTGAATACAACTGAACTGTCAGTCATTTGACCAGCAGAGGGTGGAGCTTGCTACCAGTTGTGGGCCATGTCAACACTTTGGTCTTAAGTGTACAGAAAATAGTTTGCATGTCTGTCCTTTTCCTTACTACCCAGTAAACACAGGTTATTTCTTTGTTAATCTTTCCATTCCAACCTTAAGCATTGTATAAAATGATATCAAGATAAATATACATTTCTTATCAATTCATGCACAATAACACTAAGGTTTAGTGGGGTTCTAAAAAAGAGAAGCCTTTAAATAAATTTGTCTCATAATTATAATAAAGTGTCCTTGTGTCGGTGCACAAACGAACGATATTAACACAAGTTCCTAGTTGACTATCACTAAAGTCATCATGATCTTTAATGTTTTGAATTGACTAGAGAAAAACTATGCATTGTTATTAATATAAATCAGACATGTTGATGTTGGACCCATCAGCTTCCTGCGAGCTGCAGCTGGCAAGGTATGACACGTCCCCCAGTATATATCCTCCAGCACTTACATTCACATCACAAACGTACATGAATGCCTTTGTAGAGGAATATTTACATGCAGGAAAAACAGTAGGCACTTGTCTGAAATAGTCCTCCCACGTCTACGAGGTTAAACATTCTAATAGTTGACAGTTTGCCTAGATAACTGATATATACAGGATATAATTTATGGGCAAGAGTTAAAAAACACAAACTCTAGTAAGCTGTATCTGCCTTTAACATGTCATCAGCAAGACCTTATTTTCAATTAATTGGATAATGAAAACATGGAAACAACTGTCCAAAATTCAAACATGTTGGAAAAAGCACTACAAAAAATACAATATTTCCAAATAAACTTCCTTTAATATTGTTTAACAACTATCAATGAACAAAAAGAAATAGACAAGTCTTCAACTTGGCAGGTCTTAGTGCGTTGGTAGCATTTTGGTTGAGTTTCAGAAAATCCTGTCATCTTTGTACTCACAAACGTGCAAATGTTAATTGTGTTGATCAGGGTTTTGATCTTAACTCCAAAGTGTGTAGTTTCCCTGGACTGTCCTGTATATGAATAGAGACAAGTCACTCGAGTGGCCCTGTGTTGTAATAACTTTCCCCTGTACCATGTGTATTCATTTACCGTATTGTGAAATGCTGAACTTACATCTGACACTGTGTCCCTTAATACCATTAATAATGACTGACTGGCCTTTATTTTAGTACTCATATATTCCAAGTACTGTACATGCTGTAGGAGAAATATTGTTAGACTGGCAAGAATATGGTTACATGTTGTCAAGAACCTTCAAATCCTGCTAATCTCTTTTTGTTCCTCCATGTCTTACACTTGTGTCACAGAAGTACACGAGTGCCTTTGAAGGAGGGTGTAACTGTTGTATTTTGTTGTACTTTGTCCCCCTCACCACCCATATATATGTTGATTACCAACTGATCACTATTAACACGTCCTCTCACGATTTCCATTTGACCCAAACTGACCAAAGAATGGCATGGGTGTCTATCATCAAGTGAAGGACAACCGTTGCCGGTACAATTTCTTTATTTCATTTGCCTGTCGAACGTGCTGTGGACAGTGGACATTTGACTAACCCCAAATGTCAGGTTACTTCCATTTCCTGGTCCTCGGATAGTAGTGACTGTACCAAGTCTTACTGGTAGTGTGTATCCTTAGTTATCACGAGATTGTGCATGTTCATACCTTTCCCAGTGGGAACTTGCTTAGAAAGTCGCTGGATTTATTTGTTTCTCCGAGTTTAAACCCGTCGGCAACTTTCACGTCAGCACCACTGTACTGAGCGGCTACAAGAATCTTGTAGGCTCTGAAGTTTCCTGCGTATGTGTATAGAGTCTGGAATAAAAATACAGATATTTAATGGAACAGTCACTATTAGAGAGTATAATTTTACTTCAAAACAAGCGCAAAACTCGCAGATTATCGAGATTTCAGACTGATTGAGCTCGTGAAAAGCAGAAGACTCACGCCGGCCGCCATGTCACCGATTCAAAGGAAGTGACGTACCGGGGTTTTCCAGATTATGCGCAAAGAGTAATGAAATTGCTGAGTGCCCGGATGACATTCGGCGACGAAGTAGATATTAGTGACACTATATATTTGGGGGTCTTCGATCTATTAATATGGTACGTATATGCATATATTTTCCCGATTAAGCGTAGCGTTCGAATGAGTAGTGATTCTAATGTTTTTATTTAATACCATACCGACTGAGAAATGCGAAATCATATCAAGAGCCGGTCGAATACAGTTTGGATAATGGATCGTGAATGCAGTTCTCTTTGCTGCCAATGGGCAGTAGGCCTAGTCAATGCCATAAGCATCTGTGGTACTATCATATACTATGGAATATATTTATCGGTTTGATCTTTATTACGTGGTAGCATATTAATATGAGATTATAACTCCCATGTGCTACACAGAACCAATATGATGTCCGAAACAGGTTTTATTCCGACACAATTAGCACTAGTCTAGTGGGAGCTCATTTAGCCTCTAGCCTACAACATGTTCAAGTCTGCTTGTGATCGTATCTTCAGTTTCTGTAAAACAAATGGCAGGGGACACAATCGACCAAGAACAAGTCTTAATAATACTAGCTCCACCTGAGTATCATAATACTGTCGATTTATTCCCAGGGTTTTGTAGAAATTCACTCGAAAATGTGTATTTATTTGTCAGTGATGCTCATTATATTACATGTCTATGGTATGCCTAAACATATATTAGTCTAATTATAACTCATCTTTGTGTCCTTAAGGTATATTTGTAATTTATCTCATTGAAATGCATTAAAAATCACTATTGAACTCCTTCAATTGACTCAAATACAGTGTGGCTAATTGGTGAAACTTTAACAAATGTCAAGCATTAAAATAATGATATTTTAAAAGTGTTGATTTTTCTTTACAATCTCTCTTATCGCAGCAGGTAATGCTACGAAAATCTCTGCCTTCACATTGACATGAAAACATTGCTGAGAATAAGTAGGAACAGGGCATTACATGGACACAGAAAAAATTGAACTGAAGAGATGGACAATTACTTCTTTTGATATAGTGTACAATGATTATACACTTAATCAAATAACTTTCCTTGAATCAGGATTCTCATTATGTCCTGGTTCTTCCACATCTTCCCATCGGACATGATCTTTCTTTAATGTGGTGCCAGTGATATGGAAAAATGTAGAAAATAGTGAGAACCATACAGTCTTAGGATGAAACATGAATCATCATTATAATAATTTTCTGGTTCTTTTTCAGGGAAATGAAAACAGTTTGCCAATGGAGCTTTGCTCCAACTGTAAGTATATTCAATGAAGTGTCGCAACGAAATATTTTTTTCACTTCTGCAATACATTGCAACAGGATTAGTTCATGCATCCCACATATGCCAAAGGTCTAAGAGCATAGCTCAGTCTACAGTTTTTCAGGGTTACTCGTGACGAAGGAATTCTGCATATATTACACAAAATCCTTCCTAAATACTCATTATTACATTTTCAGTGAGTTATTTGAAGCGACATTTTTTATCTGTCAGTACAACTTCAGACAAACACAACCAGTCTGCGACTTCAGCCAATGCTGCGAAGCCTGAGTGTAGTTAAATTCTTTTCAGTCTGTTAATGGTCTAATAATAACATAAAACCATGCTTTAAGCCAAGTTTGGGCTACTGGACTCAAAAGATGGCACAGACTGCACATCAAATGGCCTGTAACAGTAATTGTTTTAGTTATAACATCCTTTATAACATTCATCGTACGGTGGGGTAGCCTAGTGGTTAAAGGGTTCGCCTGTCACATCTGATGACCCAGGTTTGATTCCCCACAATGTGTGAAGCCCATTTCTGGTGTCCCCCGATATTACTGGAATATTGCTAAACGCAGCATAAAACCATATTTACTCACTATAACATTCATCAGATTTTAAGTTTTCGTTGATATCTTATGAGGTAAAATTCTGAACTCAAGCAAGACTCTCTTAAGTTGTGCTGTTGACTGTCAAGTTATGCATAGGCTAGTTTAAAGTTGAATCCCAGGGCGTTTTCTAGTGTTTACAATAATTCTAAGCTGTGTATATTTTTTATATTACCTTAATTTGGTTTGATAAATGAAATGATTTTCCAGAGTAAGGTGAGTAATGGCCTCTTGCACTTATTACTATTGGATAGCAAATCTCTATGGTCTCCATGTGGTATTTATCATGCAATAAAACAGATTAATTAAACACTGTACTGCACTGCACTGTTGTATGCCTATGTTATTGCTACAATACAGATTTGTCTGTTTGCAAGTTGCAATTTTAGGCCAGGAGATTGAAGTTAGGAAAGTGTATTTGGTCTACTAAATGATGTTCCACTTAGCATAGGGTTCACCACTAATTGATATGCATGAATGCAACTTTGAAAATACATATCATTTATCTCTGTGACTAGATTCCAGATTAGATAGCTCCCTAGCAGTAGCAACTGACAGACAGGTGACCATGAATCAGTGGTCAGACTCAGTGACTTGGTTGACCATCATACCCCGGTGGTGGGGATTGTTGTTCACAATCAATCACTCAGTTGTCTTGTGTAAGACATGATTATTTACAGTCAGTCGTCTATTAGCTGAAATATTGCTGAGTGGTCTTGGAGATCAATACTGTATTTCAAAATCCCATAGGGGGCGGTCGGTAGCCTACTGGGTAAGCCCTTTTCTGGTGTGACCCACCGTGATTTTGCTGGAATATTGCTTAAAGCAGCGTAAAACCATACACACTCACTCACAATCCCATAGGGATAGCCTTCATGCTTATTATGCAAAATATGTGTCACAATTGACACCATGTTACCTTTGGTTTGGTTATGTCATCTCCCTACAGTTGACCTGGACGAAATCAAGAGGCTTGGAAAGCGCTTCCGCAAGCTTGACTTGGACAATTCCGGATCTTTGAGCGTGGAGGAGTTCATGTCCCTACCGGAGTTGCAGCAAAACCCACTGGTGCAGAGAGTTATAGATATATTTGACACTGATGGAAATGGGGAGGTAGATTTTAAAGGTACAGTGATTTTGAGTAACAGACTGTCGATAGGTCTTTCAACAACTGCTTCATCTACAGCTACAAGTGGGGATCTAGGTTAGAGTAGGTCCCCAGCACACCATTGCTGGTTGTATTATGAGGCAATGTGAGTACTTGTGTGCCATATTGCATGGATTGTTGCACATGGTTTCATGCACTGGTTTGCCTGGTCCAGACTTTACAAGCAGCAGTGATATAGCTTTACTATTGCTGACTGAGATGTGAAAAACTTTCATTGACTCACCCACACGTGCAGCTATTTAGCTTACCAGTAACAAAAGTTCATGCCCGGACTTAGAGGTATTCCAGCATTGACTTTGTTCTGATTATGAGCAAACATCCTCCATCTTCCCGAAGCAATGGAGTTAACTGACAATAAAAGTCCAGTTTCCACCCTTGCCAAACTAGGCTGGAATTATGGAGTTATATGTTTTACCTTACCTGACGCAACACAGTGCTATAGGTGTAGCATCAGGTAAGTATAAAAACATTGCATTTAATCAGAAATGCTCATGTTTTGCCTTACCTGACGCTTCACCTATAGCACTGTGTAGCGTCAGGTAATTATAAAAACATTGCATTTAATCAGAAATGCTAATTTTGACTGGACTTAACATAGTCCATTAACGAAATCAACACCTGGTTCATTAACAGCTGTGCAATTTCGCTCGATTGCAGGATTTGCAAAGCATGTGTACTGTCAATAAATATTTTCCAAATCTTTTCATGTTTTTAATCAAGGTGATCACATGATTTGATACACTTCGTAAAGTAAAACAGTTTTGTTACATTATAGATCTTGATTATTGAACAGATCATCTTCACTAGGCACTGTCATTTTGTTTGAAGCAAATGCAAGTGATACGAGTGTTGGAATCTGATTGGTAAATAGGAGGGACATAGAAGGGACATAATTGGTAATAGCCTATGGTGGTGCTACGATTGAGACCAGAAATTCCAGCCTAGTTTGGGAAGGGGGGAAACTGGACTTTTTTCAGTCAGTTAACTCCTTTGCCTCTGGAAGACACAGTTACCACAATCGACTTTAGATATGTCAACTTCTGTGCTTTGGCATACAGCATGACACAATTTCTAAAAAGTTTCTAAAAAAATCATATGACCAATGTTAATGATTGGTTGAAGTAAACTCAATAAGACTCGGACCAATTGTTAAATCCCAATACAAATAAGTCTTAACTGATCACTGTTTTTTATTCAAAATGATCATTGCAGAAAATCAGTTAATCATCCATTTGTTTCATTTCCAGAATTCATCGAAGGTATTTCACAGTTCAGTGTTCGTGGCGACAAGGAGTCCAAGTTAAGATGTATGTGTAAGCATTTTACCTAGATGTTCAAGACGACATCATCATGATCACCCCCACCTACTCCCACTAAGCAGTTAACACCTCTTTCCTCATCTGCTACGGCAGATCAGTGACGTACTCTCTGTGGCTAATCTCATCAGGCAGCGAGGCTGCTGCCCCAGGGCTGTATCTAGGATTCCCCCCCAGGATCCCCCCTAACACACTCACACACGTCATCCAGGATGATCATTCACTGCGTCTAACAGTCCTTGGGTAATGGAGGACTAGTGCGACTTTAGTGGCATCTTACCATAGCACAACTCTGCAGTTCAGTGTGGTTTCTTGACATATAAATTTGATAACTCTGTGTTTATGGAGCTCTTTATACTCACATTATGCTTCTCTGCAAGTCAGAGCTTGTAAAGTTTTTAAAGAATGATGTTTTATGATGATTATACAATGCTTGTTATGTTTCTCTATGATTTTCTTTATTGTTATATGTTATATTTAATTGTAACTATAAATTTGAAAAGAACATGAGCTCTGATAGTAGTTTTTATCAATAACTGTACAAGTGCTAGGGTTAGACAGTGAAATGTGTGGGGAATGATTCAGCACGAAGCGCATGTTATGAGGAGCAAGATAGGAGAAGGTAACTATGTTCCGGGATGCTGCTGTCCTCACACACATGCTTCATCCTGTCATTCCCCCATGTTGCCCATAGATGCTAAACAGTGACAGGATCTGGGGCCAACTTGCCCAGTATCTTGTCCTTCGAAACCCAAACTGAATCCTAGATACAGCTCTGACAAAAAGGTGTGTGAACTGAAATCAGAAGGGTATGGTTTTTGTTCATTAGAAATGTGATTAAATGAATTAATGCATCTATAGGATCAGGTAAGAGTTTTAATTAAAGTTCAAAATTTGCATGTTTGTGCATACATTTTGACCCATCTTTTTACTCTGAAATTTCAAGGTTACCATTTCCAATGCATACAGTGTTATGTGAACTCTGTGACACTCCTTCACTGGACTGCACCCTTGTCTCTAGCTTTTGTGCACGCATCTTGCACTCAGAGCCACCTCCCACCCTTTGTATTGAACTGATGATGTTTAACAGTTATTGGCCAGGGAATGGTCAAATATGAGGCATTGAGTGATTCATGTATGTATTAACATGCTAAAAACGTTTTAAAATCTCTTGTGAGGAATTGCTGCAAGTTTGGTTCACTTGCTATGTGATGGGCCCTTTATGTGACAAATGTCAATGAACTGGTTGGAGACCTAAATGCTTGGGCAGTGAAGGAAGGTATAGCTCGTGTGTGAGATGTTATATCTGTTAACACATGCTTGGAGAAAAGGAACTATTTCTTTGTTCAGGCCTGTTGGCTAATGTCACCTGTCAGGTTACATATGACATTTTCTTTATTTTTATGTTCCTGCTCTTTAAGATATGGTAGTTTTTTTTGGTATTTCATTATGTAAATTATTTTCTTGGGTATTACATTGATGATGATTAATTTTTTTTTTTGTATTTCATTTAAGTTAAATTGCATTTCATTACCATTCTAATTTTTTGTGGGAATGATATCTGAAACCTTTACATCCGATTAGTTTTTCCAAGTTTCTTATTACTCTCTATCGACTTACCTTGGTTTTTTTACAGCCTGTTATCACTCATACTAATTACATATGCTGTAAATCTTGAAATTAATGGGTCTCCAAATTAACACGAATGCTGACACCTAGCCAAAATGCGGCTCAATACCAATGCGACTCCCCCACCCCATCCCCAGTGGAATGATACATATCCTTCCTTAATCCAATCAAACACAAATAGCACTGCTTATTAGCGCTCAGTAGAGCACTTCCGTAAAAACAATAAACGGTGTTTTCTTGAAAAAACAACACACAGTTTATATGTTTATTCTGTCGACTGGCATTAAGGAAGTTCAAAGGCAAAGAAATAATTTAACGAACAACAGTTCACTGATTGGTTTGCGGAGAAGGTGTCAACAAACTTGAAAGCGGATGACAAGACAAAGGCTGTAGACCGATCGGTGCGTGTTTGGTCGTGTCGGCCTTTGACGAAGTGTTGCATTGGTGGCGTCTGTCTGGACTGCTGGAGTGGTCAATGATGCTTAGTTTGACACAAGAGGGTAGAACTCTTAACCCCAACAGTGGTAACTCACCAGATGCCTATTGTGTAATTCCTATTCTTTGAAAGACATTGTTATATACTTGTTACAACTGCTGCTCAATAAACCGTGTTTGTGTTTTTGTTCAAATTGGTATTTCCGCTAGCCAAAGTGTGCAGTGAGGCCATCTAATTGTTGATAGTCATTTTGGAGACATAAATGCGAAGTATCATTAATGAGAACAAAGACCACTTGCATTTTTCACATTTAATTCACAGTCACGTTAATTTCAAGATTTATAGTATCCATGTTAAGAAATCTGTAATAATATGTAATCACTTCCATAAGGGACTTTTGTACTCATCCTGGGCAGAGGCTTAAAGAGCAGTCATCAGACATATATATCCTTCACTGAATACAGGTATTCAAGTTGAATTTGTCCATACATGTTAAACATGTTGAAAGTAGCATTTGGGTTTATCTTTAATTCTTTTTGAATGTGAATAGGCGTGGTTTCGCAGGTTATATTTTATTGGTCCTTTGACTGATCTAGTTCGGCCCAGCCAGGCCCAATAAGTGTAATATGCCTTATGTGGAGATGAGCTACAGATCCTTTGTCTATATCATGTGTCTCACTGTGTGAACCACTGTATTTATCACTAACTGATCAGTCTATAGTATCGAGACTGAGGAACAAGTATTGTCTAATATAGATTTATGAATTGTAATCTTTTTACTGACAACATCTCTGTTTGTGTTTCATAGGATTGTTCTGTAATTTCCTATTTCTAAGGCTTGTCTGTTTTTGACTTGACATGTAACCTTCACATTTTTCTCACTCAATCTAATAGCAACCAAATTATTCTTCTTAAAGTCCTAAAGTATTGGTATATGATACATATTCAACTACATTAATAAGTTCAACAGCCATAATTGATATTGCATGGGCAAAGTGCTTAAAGGTAACTGAGATTTCAATTAAAGGATCAGTTATTTAATATGGTTAGGCTGCAACCTGGTATAATTTAGAAATGTTTTTATTCATGTTATTTATTTCCAGCACTCAAAATATTTTTATTACACAAGTATCATTTTGTAGGGCACTATCTTACTGCAAGTTAACATGTATTTTCACTATTTGTAAATCCCAGAATTACTCTCCTTATTTGCCATAATTCTGTTGGCCTTTTTATGAAAATGAGTTCTCCCCTCCTAGATAGATGTGTGTAGTACTGCATACAACGTCTAACCACTATAACTGGCACTATCACAGCAACACCACACTTGTGGAAATCACTAGGGCTCATATCAAGTAAATAAGGAGCTACACATGTAATTTGAATATGAATTAGTTGGTTCTTGAATGTATCAATGAGTAGATATGAATGTACAACCTACAATCTCCATACAAGCCATATACAATGATAAGGATAGTGCCAGTTACAGTCTAGAAGTATTGTCTCAATCACAGTGGTCAGCCCGGCTTTCCTGCTAAGATAAATCTATTGGTATAAAATAATAAAAGGAACTGATTCTCAAAATGTTACTTTGAAGATGTTCTATCAATACTCTTTGATTTTGCTTGAGATAAATGGTTTTATGATATTATGACTGTTACAATTTTAAGTGGGCTTTACATGCTCTTGGCACCTTCAGAAAAGAATTTGTTAATGTCCTGAAAGATGGACCAAGCTGATTAACCCTGATTACAATGTTTGACCACTGTTATGGATGCAATAATTTTGTTTTAAATAATATATTCGTTCACTTTTCAAATTCAAATGTTTGAAATTGATATGTGGTCAAGTGTTATATACAAGTGTACTAATTCCGTTTTTTCTTTTAAACTCCAATTTCAGTTGCATTCAAGATATACGACATGGACAAGGACGGGTACATCTCAAATGGAGAGTTGTTCCAAGTCCTTAAAATGATGGTGGGCAACAACTTGAAGGACACACAGCTCCAGCAGATTGTGGACAAGACGATTATCCATGCAGACACTGATGGCGATGGCAAAATCTCATTTGAAGAATTCTGTGCTGTAAGTGGAGGCTGTTACTACCCAACGTAACAAAGTATGGATCGATATAAACATACCGTATTCGACGTAATAAGCGCCCCGCTCTAATAAGCGCCCATGGCGATAACTGCTAACATATTAGCTAGTGAACAATCCCAATTAGCACCCCTTCCGATTGATCAATGTACACAAGACTTTTATATTCGCGTATAATACGCAAACATGTGTTATATGCACCCTTAATTATGGGCAATTAAATTCTGGAAAAATATATCTGTCGTACATAAACATTTCAGGCTGTCAGCATAAACCACGAAATTTATCTTTCAACTCTGTTTTTTTCCACCAAAATAATATTCTAATAAGAGCTCCTATTTGTAATTTTGAGAGCGCCCTAGGCGCTTATTACGTCGAATACGGTACACTGGAACCTTGTTCCAGTCTGTGGCAGAATGGGTCCCTAGAAATCTATTGCTTATGTAAGGGGCAACAATTGGATCAGGTGGACAGACTGGGTGACCTTGTTGCCTGCCTTGAACATCCTGAAATAACATGCATGATATTGCAAGAATATTACTCTAAAATACGCTAAAATTGGCGTAAAACCATTCTCACTCACTCACTCATATTGAACCCAGAAGTAAACTTTCTTCTGGTGTCACATCTTCCCTTACTTTTTCACTTCAGTATATTTTGTCTCTTTCTCTTTCCAGGTTGTAGGAACTATGGATGTTCATAAGAAAATGGTGGTTGACGTATAGAAGAAAACCTCACATCACTACAAAAAGACTTTACTTTACTATTTTAAATAATGATCTTTTTCCATGACAGCTTGCTGGTGTCCACCCTACAGGTGTTATGGTACTTTGATGTTTAGCTGTGTACCACATGGCAGTTCATGTGCTCGTCGCCGATGGCGCCGATGCTGCCGATGTTGCACAACAACCAACTACCCAGTTATGGAGGGCAGAATTTCCCTTGTGCCTGCGTCTCTCAGTGTCGAAACTATTCAAACTGTTCATAGGAATTTTGTGCTCTTTAGAAAATCTTGGTATTGAAAGCATGACTTCAGCTGGAGCTCTGTGTATCGGCTCAGTAGAGAAGCCAGTTAAGTTCCCCCTATGTTTTTGGACTGACAATATAAGTTGTGTTGTATTATTTCAATGAAAGGTGTACCTGTAACTCAGGGTTGTGTGTATTGTGTGGTACAGTGTTCAGTGTAATCCTGTTTCCCAGTGGTTGTGAGACTAGACCAACACCTAGTCCAGGACTACATTCAGCTCATTCACACATCCTTTAAATCGGTAGGAAAGATCATTATTTCAAACGTTTATCCCATTTTTTAGATCGGTAGTAATTATGAATCTCCTAGCCTGACTGAAGTCTTGCTTCAAACCAACCTACATGCTCTGGTAACAGTGCAGAGAAGACCTGTCTACTTTAGTTACAAATGTTCATGACAATAATACTTACCATATGCTTTGTGGTAGGGTGTGTTTGTCATCATTAATATGTGCAGCTAGACTGACCAGTGATCTCAGCTACTTTCAAGGGAACATCAAAGTAGATGGGCAAAATCATGTCTTGCATAACTTTTTCACAACAAAAGATGGAAAACAGTTGTTCTTGTTGCATAATCCGGCACAGTAATGGGAATGCTTTATGTGTTTGTTGATATTGTTTGTTGACCCAAAGTAGTGTTCTTTTGTTGATTGTGTTGGTGGGTAGTGTATACACATCCCTGCAGTAAAAATCTTTATTTCTTGTTTGACAGTTTTTTACACAAGTCACTTATAGGATGATGAAAGAGAGTTTAAGTTCTATGTTATGCACATCAGACAGTACACAATACTCACATGTATTTGTAGTGTCACTGGTTCAAAATTTGTATTGAAAATAATGTTATTGCTGTGTACAGGAGTTATCTCCCCTGCTTGTAACTAGGGTTGATCTAGAGACTTAATATATTCCAGAACTAAAACTAAGTTATGAAGGTCAACATTCAGTGTTGAGATACCAAAGACTTATTGGAAGTTATGCAGATATTTTCCCTGATTGCTTAGATATGCACAGATTTGCTTGTCGTCTAATCTGACAGAAGAAACACTGACCTATGTTCAAAGTTTTGCTTGTAGTGGGTATGTTCTATCAGGAACAAATAAGTACATATGCACTCTAAATCAAGCATAAAACGTTAACAGTGCATAATAATGTATGGTGTTACTTCACTGACAAACAATTATGATGGAGCCATTTGTAATGTTATGTAAGCATAAGAATGTTTTGTGCAAAGGCCAGAAAAAAGATTTTATATAAGGTTTGATAACTCTGCTTGCAAACGTTGCAATGAGTCTGTGAAAAGGTATTTCAAGTCTGAGCCGAATCAGTACATTTTACTCATTACATGTGGGCTTTCATAAGTTAAGCTTGCTAGACTGACAAAGTTTATTATACTTGCCTAGAGGCTAGTTTATATTTACTTGGAAATAGTGCTATTTGAAGAATTTTCCTGCTTTCTATCCACATGAGAGATCCAGTGCACTGTCTCCACATCTCAGCATCTGTCCATCACTGTCTGACTGCTGTCATCTCTCTTCATTTGTCATACATCACACGTGGACAGAGTCCTATGCCAAACCCAGGGTGTTCCCGTCTCTCGTAATCTGTTCTAACTGATCATATGAAACAACTGAATGGCTTGAAGCTACTTATAATTGTGTGTAAATCGCTGCCTCTCCATTGCATGTTGTTTAACCTCCAACATCTCTGCTGATGACCCATTGTTATAGATATGGCTATAGATAATGTCAGTGTGGGTTATACATGCCTGTTGACCTCTGACACAAGGTTGGAGTGTAAGCAAGCACTGGCTCACCGGTGCTGGTCAAATGAGGAAATATATACCTTGGGGTGAAGGTCGATTTGAATGTAGACCAACTTCAGGTAACGGCATGAACACACATTTCTCAGGTTGTTGATTTAAACATAATGTCAAAAGATATAAAATTTAAATTAATCTAAAGGGTTTGGTTACTCAAGCTGTAATAACACTCATAATTTCTGACTAATTTATGACATAATAATGTTTGTTTGTTTGCAGTAAGCAATTATGACATTCCTCTATTTTGATATTTGATAAAGTTCTTCCAATATTACACAAATGATTTTCGACAAAATTGATTATGGTCTCTGGGAGTCTGTGATTATAGGAGACAGTAAGGTATAAGAAGTTATCTCATTGCTGCACACTATGCAGTGTCGGGCATTTAGTCAGTCTTGTAACCCTGGTGTTTTTTGCCAATTCAGTCCTTTGGGGACCTGTTTTAATTTATAGTCCAAATTTATCCATCACTTTTTGTTAAATTAAATTTTTACCTTCGGTTTCAGATCTTATCATTTCCCCCCGTACTTGTGATACCTGTTTGCCCCTTTTGTATTGTTTTGTGTGGAATGAATCATTTGCATGTAATTTGGTGTGTACATTAAATTAATTATAATTATACTATCATCAGCTTGTGTATATTGAATCCCTGTATATTTTTGCAATAATTTGAATATGGTCTATCATCTGACCGTTTTTTATTATTGTAAGATGTTCCAACTTTTTTCTGTAAATTTGAACCATTTATATGTTGTAAAATGTCGAATCACCTTCAGGTGTTTTTATCCTTCCTGTTAACACCTTCACATTGAGCTTATCTAACCTTGTTCATTTTATCTTTTCACACAATTGCTAAGATTTCTCTTAAATAAATTTTGCAAATATCCACTATGCTTTTGTTCCTTGTTGATAAACATTGTTTTACGAGCCTAATTGGGGCTCTCTGGCACTGGCAGCATGTGTTTGGGATTTCTTGTTATGGTCCTCGTTACTTGCAATAGAATCACACAATATGATTAATTGACGGAGATAGCTGCATGGCTGCTAATACTTACAAAGTGAAAACAAGTCAATAAGGAATATTACTTACAGCAGTGAAACATTTCAAAGTGCACTTTCAAGAAATGTCAATTTTCTTAGCAATAAAAAAAGTTTTGATCACATGGTTTCAATCCGGGTATAAATCAACAGGTGACTGCAAGAGGTTATATTAAGCAAAGGCCTTGGTCGTTTGAACTTCAGATAGATCTGCACCTGGTTTTCTTTTGGTTTGTGGTAATGAACGTACACTGCGTACACTGCTAGATATATCAGCACACGGTCACCCGACTGCTGATCCTCTGTCGGATTCGGATTGTGACATGATCAAAACTCAATGTTTATCGCTAAGAAAACTGACATTTCTTGAAAAGTGCACCTTGCAATTTGGTCATTCTTGTAAGAAATATTCCTTATCAGCAGAAAGTCTTATAAAGTAAAAACAAGCCAAAGTAATAGCACACAAGCAGCTATCTTCATTGATTAATGAGCGCGACATTTTCTGATTCTATTTCAAGTGACGAGGGCTGTGTTTCACACTGGGATTAAAGTGCAACAATAGCATAAATTACTTACCTCCTTGTCAGAATGAGTTCTGATTGGTTCATTCTGCCTAGGATAGAAATATATTTCTGAGCCGGAGAAAATATCCCTTATACCCTGATACAAACTGCACATCAATGAAAGTCACGTGACACATCACAAGTTAACCTCAAACAGATGTTTTCTATCAATTTTGAATTTATTAAAATTCTTGTAAATGGCAGATTAAAAAATGTCATAAAGATAAATTCATTGTGGCAGTATCACTCGGGGTACATGTGGTTTTATGCATCCCTCGTTAGGTTTTATACCATGAGCCAGAGCTATATAACCACATGTACCCCTGGTGATACTGCCACAGCTTATAACAGACACAACTTAAGGAGTAATTGGTAAACACTATGGATTGTGTGAACACATTGTTGATATTGAAGCAGGGCAAAAGTTTTGCCATGTAATAATAATAATAATAATAATAGTCAATTTGTATGATGCATATATCCATGCATAGTGCATGCTCAAGGCGCATAATAATGTCTTTTGGAGACTGTCTAAAGTCTAAAGAGATAGGATTTAAGTTGTGAGCGGAAAGTTGACTGTTCACTGCAGTCACAGAGGTGTTGTGGTAGACTGTTCAAGGCAATGGCCGCTGAGTATGCAAAGGAACGTTTGCCATAGTGTGATGTTTGAAGGTTTGTTCAAGGCAATGGCCGCTGAGTATGCAAAGGAACGTTTGCCATAGTGTGATGTTTGAAGGTTTGGTTTGATAAGCAAATTCTCTGAGCAGAACATCTTTCTGGGACATATATATGAAGGAGATCAGCAAGATGGGACGGTGCTTGTCCCACGAGACATCTTAAGACATAACAGAGAATCTTGAATGTTATCCTGTGTTCAACTGTTGATGGTAGTACATGTATTCCTGATAATGGTCAACCACTGAAATATATCAAACCACCATTTCAATTTTGTTTTATTTACAATCAATGGTACAATTCTGGGCTTTCTCTGAAATACAAATCACATTTCATTGTAACAATTAGAACTTCAGATTCCTGAGCATGTAATTAATACAGACTGTCACAGCAAATCTTATTTCTGTATCTCGAAACATAAACTGTCAGTTCTGAATGGAAACAATAGTGGCCACACGATAATATTGTGGTTATATTATTCATCCTGTTATTTCGGAGCACAATGGCATTACACTGAAAAGGAAGTACTATGAATATTTCTATTTTGAGTAAAACTTTTGAAATAAAGTGCAAAAAAAAATGCCTAATCATCTTAGAGGCTTGATGTCCGATTGGTTCTAAACAAACCCACAGATCCTTCATTTACACGATTTAGACTTGGCGGTCAACATCCACCCAGGGTTCACTGGACGTGACTTCTGGAGCGTTTGTCAGATCTTCAGGCAGGCAGGTTTCGTAATGGAGTAAAAGATCTGATTTTATGGAGATTGATATACTTCTTGATATGTAACCAGTGCCCTATAAGTTAAGTACTTACGCCTGACAAAGTGGAGATAATGTATGGATAACAACTTCTTTTTTTACTGTAAAGGTGACATTTCTGTATAAATCCTAATACTGTTATCAAGCAAGGACAACGGTATAAGGATCTATACCGAAACGTTGCCTTTACAGTATATAAAGAAGTTGTCATCCATACATAATCTCTACTTTGTCGTCCGTCAACTTGGTTCCGTTTTTCAAATGTTAACACTTTTCACTGGAATCAGTGTGTCTTACAAAAACTTACATAGGGATGTTCAGAAATGCGCCAACCATGTGATAGACATTCACTATATTCACCGGATGATTGGCAAATGTTATCACTTAGATAGTATAGCCTTACAACACTATCTTACACTTAATGATACCTTCTATTACCCATAAGGTTCGAAATAACCGAGGCCATCGTATGTGCATTAGTGCAACGTCAATTCAAGTGCACCAGTGTATTGTTTACGTCATGTGGACGGCATTGTTGACTTCCTCGAATATTATTATGACGTAAGGTCGGAATGACGTAAGGTTGGAATAACATCACACTAGAAACAACATCATAGCTGAAGATTGTTGACGTCATTCGACTATTGTGTTTTTCTAAGACTGCAGTTGTGATCAGAGCATTTTTCTAAAGTGGAGCTCAAAGGTTAGGATTTATGGGAAATAAGGACATTATTATACAAGCATGTGTGTCATACTGATTTTATGAAACAAGTGTCAGAATCTTGTATTACCGGAGCGAGAGTGAGGGCAATGCATGAATTCTTGTACATCTTTCTGAAAATCAGTGTAACACACATACCATTATAATGCTTTATAACAGAAAACATCAAGATCCTCGTATGACAAAAATAATGATACGCATTATCACAGTTTGAGAATGAGTATTTTCACAGACTAGTTCTGACTGTATGACTAGTGAGGACGGTCACAGAGTGAATGAGACAGATCAAGGATCATAATTGGGCATTCAGCCCAGATAAGCAGATCCTGGCAACTGCACAGCAAATTGCAACTTCTTAGACCGAGCAAATTTTGCGCTCAGGTTTGACGTTCTGCCTTCACAGCCAGCATTACAAAACCACCACTTAGCTACATGGAATGATGAATTTATGGAGATCTGTAACCATGGTAACCCTTGCAGACGTATATTGGTAAGTTTCAAGGCAAACCAAGCAATATCATTCTGGACCATAAGCTGTTGCCTTCTCTGCTGTTGCCATAGTTACTCACAGAAGGCCGACATCTTGTTCCTCTTTGCACACACCACGTGGCTGTATTCAATGTTAATTGTGACCTGGAACACACAACCATAACACACTAACACCAAGGTGGTGCTGCACTCAAGTCCTTCCAAGGTTATCTGGATTTGAGAACCTGACTGTTAACACATAGAAAATAGCTGGGAATGGCACCAGGGCTATGAGAGGGGCTTGGAAGCCGGGTTGTTTCAGCAGTGTCAGAGATATGATTCCATACGCATGTAGAAGCCAGTGTCCGATCAGAATAGTTGCATTTCTTCCATTGGTGAAACTGTCAACTATAAGATCCCTCATTTTCTGAAAAGAAATAAATAAAATCCCAATAATCACTGACAAAAATACTTCTTCAAACTAAACATCTTGTAATCAAATAACCTGTATTCCTAATCTACATAGTATGAGATACTGTTGATATTATCATCTGCTAGACCCACTGAGCATGTCGGAAGTGGGGCTGCTGGGTAAATCTTGTGTTGCGATGAGTTGCGAACATGTGCCGACTGGCATGACAAGCTGGCTGTTTTAAGTATGAGCGTACACGAAGCTAAAGAAGAATATAAGTGAAGTGTCTGCTGTGGTTGGTTGATTGGCATTATCAATTACCAGTATCACTTTCCTCCATTGCTGTGTACAGTGAAGGAATAGGTCATGCTTTACTAATATGAGCATATATTATATATATTGATATCACGATAATCTGAGTATAGTTTTACATCAATAGCAACATTTCAGCCATAAATAGGCTTCACATGTTGTACCCAGAGGGGATTTGAACCCAGGTCAGTGGTGGGACAAGCCAGTGCTTTAACCACTGTGCTACATGTGTCTCCTGACTGCTACAGACAATGGTTATGCGTACCTGTTCCTTCATGGAGGCAAGATGAACAGCACTGGTCACCACCGAGACAACCAGGACAATGAACGGGAAGGCATAGTCTGAAAACAAATAATCCTATTCAGTCTTCTTGTGGTGAACCAGGACAAAGTCATCACTACAGAACCTCACTGGGTGATGTAACTCTTTCATTATATTCGACAACATTGTTTGCCAACAACTTTCAGATGCAACAGACTCTGTGTTTTACCTTGAACCCTGTGAAAACGGAACCCAATCTCGAGGACAGTCTGGTTGGCGATGTGTTTATTATACAAAGGAACATCAGTCCGTACCAAGGATTCGTTAATCTGGGAAATTGTTAATCTGGATGATTACCTTAGTATATTTCCTATTAAAACAAATTACTGTATACTGGAAACATTATTTTTAAAAAAATATCCTGAATTCTTTGCCATTCATCATATTAATAGAAGTTTACCTCCTGTACCTCGTATTTGGCTGAGAGTGAGTGAGTGAGTTTGGTTTTAACACAGTTTGACCAATATTTCAGTGATATCACAGTGTGTCAGTTTGATGTGAATGATAAAAAGATGATGCAGGTCTTCCAAATTCTAAAAGCCTTAGGTCTTCTTCAGGTCTTAGATGTTTACCAATTAGGTCAACGAGCACAGACAGCGCTGACATTGTGACAAACCTAGAAACAAACAGAGATACCTGGCAATCGAATCCGCATTCATATACATTTCAGAAGCAACTCGGTGAATTAGAATTTGGATGTTTGTCCCATCCGTGCTTCTGATGCGGCCTAGGAAGTCTGTAAACCTGAATCTGAACTAAAATGTGTGTGACTTACACAGGAGTCCTCCGAACACAGCCTGCAGCACGATGAGGATGGGGAGGAAGTACAGGGCGGCATATATGGACTTGGTGCCGCGGCCTTCAACCAGCTTGTAGGAGATGACGGGTCGGATGACCATCAGTAGAACCAGTGATATGGCATAATACACCATCACCATTGTGTACCTGGCAGAACAAACAGACACTGTAAACCCTGCAGACATACTAGTACTGGGTATCAGCCTGACTGTTTACTTGCATCCTGTTGCAATAATGATTTACTGATTTATGTACTGTGACACTTACCACAATATATTGCTTGTGTTCTTTCATCTGTAATTTGTATGAAGCCAGGGTTTTACATGATGCGCAAATGTGCTCTAGTACACACAAATATAGAGAACGAACGCAGAAAATCATATATGCCGCACAATTATATTCATAGAACCTACAGCGCATCAAGATCAGTTATGGGTGTCTGTTATTTCATCCATCAGTCATAACCATTGTCCACATGATCAATGATTCATTCCAGGCTCTAAAGTAATTATCTGAATGAACAGCACACTACACCATTTCATTACTTCACAGGACCCTCACACTCTACTCAGCGCTCATAAACTGTGCTATTTGGTGTGTGATTGGCTTAATGTAAGGTTGGATTAAGGTGAGGATTCTCCTGTAAACCCGACAGAGGACATTTTGTTTAGACATATTGAGTCGCATTTTTGGCTAGGGGCCAGCGGTCGCATTCTTTTGGAGACACATTAATTTCACGTTTTACAGTAATTCATATTCGCAACAAAATCGCAATAATTGTTTTCATCCTACTTGCCGATTCCATCAAGAAAGAATGGCGTAATTTATTTGGTCGTCTATTTTCAGTAGTGTGTCATTCAAAGCGTCTTCAAACAAAGTCGAGGGGGCAAATGGGTACAGGCTATATGTCCTAATAGGATGGAGACATGATGGCAGGTGCTGGAGGATCATGTTAGCACTGATAGAGAGTTTGCGTGAAGGATACTTACAGAGGGTATATGTCCTAATAGGATGGAGACATGATGGCAGGTGCTGGAGGATCATGTTAGCACTGATAGAGAGTTTGCGTGAAGGATACTTACAGAGGGTATATGTCCTAATAGGATGGAGACACGATGGCAGGTACTGGAGGATCATGTTAGCACTGATAGAGAGTTTGTGTGAAGGATACTTACAGTGGCTATATGTCCTAATAGGATGGAGACCCGATGGCAGGTAGTGGAGGATCATGTTAGTACTGCTAGAGAGTTTGTGTGAAGGATACTTACAGAGGGTATATGTCCTAATAGGATGGAGACACAATGGCAGGTACTGGAGGATCATGTTAATACTGCTAGAGAGTTTGCGTGAAGGATACTTACAGAGGGTATATGTCCTAATAGGATGGAGACACAATGGCAGGTACTGGAGGATCATGTTAGCACTGATAGCAAGTTTGTGTGAAGGATACTTACAGTGGCTATATGTCCTAATAGGATGGAGACACGATGGCAGGTACTGGAGGATCATGTTAGCACTGATAGAGAGTTTGTGTGAAGGATACTTACAGTGGCTATATGTCCTAATAGGATGGGGACACGATGGCAGGTACTGGAGGATCATGTTAGTACTGATAGAGAGTTTGTGTGAAGGATACTTACAGTGGCTATATGTCCTAATAGGATGGAGACACAATGGCAGGTACTGGAGGATCATGTTAGCACTGATAGCGAGTTTGTGTGAAGGATACTTACAATGGCTATATGTCCTAATAGGATGGAGACACAATGGCAGGTACTGGAGGATCATGTTAGTACTGATTGAGAGTTTGTGTGAAGGATACTTACAGTGGCTATATGTCCTAATAGGATGGAGACACGATGGCAGGTAGTGGAGGATCATGTTAGTACTGATAGAGAGTTTGTGTGAAGGATACTTACAATGGCTATATGTCCTAATAGGATGGAGACACAATGGCAGGTACTGGAGGATCATGTTAGTACTGATAGAGAGTTTGTGTGAAGGATACTTACAGTGGCTATATGTTCTAATAGGATGGAGACACGATGGCAGGTAGTGGAGGATCATGTTAGTACTGACAGAGAGTTTGTGTGAAGGATACTTACAATGGCTATATGTCCTAATAGGATGGAGACACAATGGCAGGTACTGGAGGATCATGTTAGTACTGATAGAGAGTTTGTGTGAAGGATACTTACAATGGCTATATGTCCTAATAGGATGGAGACACAATGGCAGGTACTGGAGGATCATGTTAGTACTGATAGAGAGTTTGTGTGAAGGATACTTACAGTGGCTATATGTCCTAATAGGATGGAGACACGATGGCAGGTACTGGAGGATCATGTTAGTACTGATTGAGAGTTTGTGTGAAGGATACTTACAATGGCTATATGTCCTAATAGGATGGAGACACAATGGCAGGTACTGGAGGATCATGTTAGTACTGATAGAGAGTTTGTGTGAAGGATACTTACAGTGGCTATATGTCCTAATAGGATAGAGACACGATGGCAGGTACTGGAGGATCATGTTAGTACTGATTGAGAGTTTGTGTGAAGGATACTTACAATGGCTATATGTCCTAATAGGATGGAGACACAATGGCAGGTACTGGAGGATCATGTTAGCACTGATAGCGAGTTTGTGTGAAGGATACTTACAGTGGCTATATGTCCTAATAGGATGGAGACATGATGGCAGGTACTGGAGGATCATGTTAGTACTGATAGAGAGTTTGTGTGAAGGATACTTACAGTGGCTATATGTCCTAATAGGATGGAGACACGATGGCAGGTACTGGAGGATCATGTTAGCACTGATAGCGAGTTTGTGTGAAGGATACTTACAGTGGCTATATGTCCTAATAGGATGGAGACATGATGGCAGGTACTGGAGGATCATGTTAGTACTGATAGAGAGTTTGTGTGAAGGATACTTACAATGGCTATATGTCCCAATAGGATGGAGACACGATGGCAGGTACTGGAGGATCATGTTAGCACTGATAGCGAGTTTGTGTGAAGGATACTTACAGTGGGTAGACCAACTCCTGTGTACAATGTAGAGTGAATGTGTAGTTGGGGCTGGGGTTGTACAGCATGGTGTACCAGTCGGACAACTTGTTCACGTTACAGGATCGGATGTGCATGGATCCCAGCGGGTCGGCCATCAACAGGGTGAGGACAGCAGCAATGGCGCTCTCCATCAAGGCTGATAGATGCAACACTAACACAGCCCTGGGAAAGCAAGCCAACACGTTAGGAGACTTTCACAAATATCTCCATGTATGGTGGCGTTATCCCACAATTTAGGAAAATATTACTCTTGATTCAAATCATCCGACCAACCCATTGTTTCACTTGCTGGAAACAGCCTGTCCATAAAGCCATGTGTTGTATTCGTAAAGAACATGAAGAAAAGGGATGTTTGTGTATATTATTGTTGCTGTAGCTATTTTGAACAACAAAGTTGATCAAATAACCACATGTTCTAAATACGCCATCTATGTAAAGAAAGATTAACAAGGACATTGAAATAAAAGCCCAACTACGTACAGACACATATTGGATGTGTCCATGTTCCTGAAACACAAGTTCAGTGAAACATTGTTAATCTGGACTGTTCCATCACAGTGGATAAACCAATTTCCGAAATCACAGACATTTCTCTATGTTTGGCTAGCAGCTGTTCTCATTCCATCAAGGTCCAGATTGATGTCATCCAGATTCACAAGGGTTCACTGTATTTTATGTTTTGCCTTAATAATAATGAAAAGCCATAGCCTAGACCTGTTTCCTTGTTTCGTGGGTGCGCCCGGACAAAGTTTGCAACTGCGAACAAATGCTGCATGGTTTCTCAGAGAGCAACATTTTGTCCATGAAACCTGGTCTACTTATAAAAACACTTCCAGAAAATAATTCAGCATAAATCTTTCACATTTCATCTTAACAATCTGATCTGATCTGAGTTGGCTTTGCACAATAATCCAGCAATATCACTGGTGGTGATGCCAGAAATGGGCTTCACACATTGGACAAGTGAACCAGACTATCCTTCTGCCCACATCTCACCTGAATCGTTTGCCCCGAGTTTTGAAGTCGATGAAGAACCAGTGCAGCACCAGAGACAACAGCGCCATGAAGCCGAGATAGAGCCAGTCATGCAGGGCCAGGCTGCCGTCACACTCAGTACACTGTGACCAGGGAGACTTGCTGTTGGGCTGGAACCCCCGCGGACAGGCCTACAACACAGCAACATTATATAACAGTGGTCAACATTGAGGGTTGCTGTTGGGCTGGAACCCCCGGGGACAGGCCTACAACACAGCAACATTATATAACAGTGGTCAACATTGAGGGTTGCTGTTGGGCTGGAACCCCCGCGGACAGGCCTACAACACAGCAACATTATATAACAGTGGTCAACAGGCCTGCAACTCAGCAACATTATATAATAGTGGTCAACATTGAGGGTTGCTGTTGGGCTGGAACCCCTGGGGACAGGCCTGCACCACAGCAACATTATATAACAGTGGTCAACATTGAGGGTTGCTGTTGGGCTGGAACCCCCGGGGACAGGCCTGCACCACAGCAACATTATATAACAGTGGTCAACATTGAGGGTTGCTGCCAATATATACCACAACATAAATCTTTCTAACCATTATTAAAAAATATGAGGAGCCATTGTTGCATGACAATTAGTAGCAGTTTTAGCGAAAGTGGTGCTGTTTTCGCCAGAGGAAATCTGTGTCGTTTTGCTGAGGTGCTGGAATAGCCTGCACCTGTATCACAGTGGTATGTCTGCGTCACAGTGGTACGTCTGCGTCACAGTGGTACGTCTGCGTCACAGTGGTACGTCTGCGTCACAGTTGTACGTCTGCATGACAATGTAACCAATATTACCCCACAATCAGCATCTATAGTCTCTCTTCCACAGTACTCCCCGGGACAACTCTTCACTGAAAAAATATAATCATAACAGTAAATAAACAAATCAGTTAGATGGATATCAATCTTTAAACAGTACAATCAGTTTCTTTGTCTGTTGTTTAACACCGCACTCAGCAATATTCCAGCTATATGACGGTGTTCTGTAAATAATCGAGACAGGACCAGACATGCCAGTGATTGACAATCAGTATCGGATGTTATATTCATATATCGTTGGATCATAGGTTTTTGGACATCATATGTTTTCGGACCGCCATAGTTATCGCGATTACTCGTTCTATAACGGGGGTGGGTGGGATGTAGCATCACATAGACATTGTAAATATTCAGATGATGGCTTGTTTTTAAGAGAAAGTTGTCTGAGAAGTGAATGAGATGTTTTACAGTTGTTCATGTGATTAGAGAGAAAACTAGGAATGTTTCTTAAGCGTCCGAAAACCCATAAACTCGGGGATAGTAAATCGAGTGATATGTCAAATATTACGTTCGACGGTTAGGCAAACTAAATACTGACACTGGGCCTAACAGCTACAGGATAGTCTGGAATTAATGTTCATACACCTGTCAAACATATGGGTTTCACCGAACAAGCGAAAAAACGCTCATTTCTTTAGCTTCTAATGTAGGCTAAAGCCCGATTTAGTCTCGTACAAGTTTGGAGAGCAGTCGTACTTCACTTGTTCATTACTGACACTGGGTTATAGACTATTCTGATCGATCACTCAAAATGTTACCAGTTTCTTTTGCGAGTCTTACCTATATTCATTTCCACAATAATGTCCGACGAGACGCTGGCTAAGGGCAACATCCGAATGTGATATTAGAACACAACATCAAAAGATGTGACAACAGGAAATAAGACGGACTGACATGCGCGGCACTGTTTGAGCTAATTGTGTTGATAGAGTTTTCTCCTCTTTGCCCAAACTCGACCGTTTTGCCGTTAGGTGGCGCTTTGATTTTCGCCACCGTAAACTGGCTCCGTCTAGCCTTTCCGAAGTCAAGTGACAGACAACGTTTACTTAGAGATTATTATACGAGGTTATGTGACATACTGATTTTTACGAAACGTGTGTCAGAATTCTTGTATACCCGAGCGAGGGTAATACATGAATTCTTACACGAGTTTCGTAAAATCAGTATGGCACAAAAATGTCATGCGACTGTTATAATTTCTTTATTGTTCATTATTTATTCATCCTTTTGAGGTTCTTGAAAACCACAACTGTCGAATGACGTCAACAATCTTCAATTATGACGTCGTTTCTTGTGTGACATCATTCGACCTTACGTCACATTAAGATTCGAATGACGTGAACAATGCCGCCCGGATGACGTTAGCAATACACCGCTGCGCGTGAAGTGATATTTGCACTACTGTACATACGGTTTTTAAGTACCCGTGTATTTCTAACACTATGTGTAATAAAACATTATATCAACCCTTCAGTTTGATGCACGTACAGACGGAGGTGGGCAGTAGCTTTCCTCGTGCAAAAAATCGAATTTCTTCGACACTTTCATTTCATCGAGTTAAGAGTTAATTTTAAATGATTTCCCCATTTTGCTAAAAGTTGCACGTGTACAAAAATGAACAATGTATGCGTTATCAAATATTCGATAGAAAGATTGACTTTCATTATTCTCAAACATTTTTACATATACACATTCGTTTGGGTACCATGTCATTTGTGCTTCCTTACAGTGGTGGGTTGATTTTGGAACTGAGATATAGAGGATAGTCAATGTGTCTTGTGAAATATCATGTTTCCCTCATCGAGTGACCGATGGTAGAAACATGATATTTCACAAGACACTTGGAAAATCCTATTTATATCACACTATATGTGTAGTTTTCTCACGGAAAATTAAATTATCTCATTACACAGACCTTCAAACGTAAATTCTCCCTACCTCACACACACACATATTCACACATACACACACACACACACACACACACACACACACACACACACATACACACATGCACGGTCCACCCCCCAACTGTCCAACTGAAGTAAGTCAATCCTGTCTAGAATTATGTAAGATATGTTCTTTTGTTTTGCTGTTTGCGTGTTGTTTTGTTTGTTTAAATAACCGAGTCTGGATCAGACAATCTAGTGAGCATCGACCCACGCAACTGGGATACGATAACATGCATGAACCAAGTCAGCGAGCCTGACCACCCGATCCTGTTAGTCGCCTCTTATGACAAACATAGTCGCCTCTTATGACAAACATAGTCGCCTCTTATGACAAACATAGTCGCCTCTTATGACAAACATAGTCGCCTCTTATGACAAACATAGTCGCCCTTCTGACAAACATTGTCGTCTCTTATGACAAACATAGTCGCCTCTTATGACAAACATAGTCGCCTCTTATGACAAACATAGTCGCCTCTTATGACAAACATAGTCGCCTCTTATGACAAGCATAGTCGCCTCTTATGACAAACATAGTCGCCTCTTATGCCAAGCATAGTCGCCTCTTATGACAAGCATAGTCGCCTCTTATGACAAACATAGTCGCCTCTTATGACAAACATAGTCGCCCTTCTGACAAATATAGTCGCCTCTTATGCCAAGCATAGTCGCCTCTTATGACAAACATAGTCGCCTCTTATGACAAACATAGTCGCCTCTTATGACAAGCATAGTCGCCTCTTATGACAAACATAGTCGCCTCTTATGACAAGCATAGTCGCCTCTTATGACAAACATAGTCGCCCTTCTGACAAACATAGTCGCCTCTTATGCCAAGCATAGTCGCCTCTTATGACAAGCATAGTCGCCTCTTATGACAAACATAGTCGCCTGTTGTAAGACAATTGATTCCCCAATATTTAATGTTACATCAACAATGAGCATTATTATGACTGCAGTGTATGCTTGTGGTGAGAGGCGACTAAATGGATGATGATCCGCCTGGCTGGATAACTCGGTTGATGCATGTCATCGTATCCCAATTGAATGGGTCGATGCTCATGATGCCAGTCACTGATTTGCCTGATCGTGTCTCGATTTCTATCTTCTTCTTACTGTCAACAGTATCAAATCAACAGCTTTGAACAGTATTACAGTTATATCACGGCGTGTCAGCTTAATGTGGGAGGAAAGCCCGAGGTGATGCAGATCTTAGTCGTTTACCCACGGCCACGGGTATGGTGCTGACAAACCTAGAAACATAATTGGGGCGAACCGGGATTCAAACCCACAATCATAGGTTTCTGGCGTGCCCAAGACAGGCAACTCTGCACAGTGAATTGTGGCGCCTTAGACGACTGGGCCATCCGTGTACCCACATATTGTGTAAGCTGTATCGCAAGTTGTGCGTCGCCGTATCCCAATGGCGTGGCTCTACGCTCATGCTGGTAAACACAGGTCTGTGTAGCCCAGATCCTATCTGGATTGTTCTCAGCATCCCGAGGGGCGGTCGGGTAGCCTAGTGGTTAAAGCGTTCGCTCGTCACGCCGAAGACCCGGGTTCGATTCCCGACATGGGTACAATGTGTGAAGCCCATTTCTGGTGTCCCCCGCCGTTATATTGCTGGAATATTGCTAAAAGCGGCGTAAAACCATACTCACTCACTCACTCACTCAGCATCCCGTGATACAGCAGCAGTGTCGCTGCTGACCTCGAGTCCACAACATTCAATCACAACGATGACACCAGGCGTCCCGTGAGTGTCTTTGTCCGGGACGTTTGACACCGACCTTCGCTTGGTTCTAGTATCATAGTTATGGTTATTGCCACCCAAAGGATGTATTATACAAAGATAGAGCTGATAATCACACCTCGTTGTATGCCACGCGCCTGGAGATTACAAGCAAAGTCGATGGTTTTCCTTTTGGATATTTCTCAATAAAAAGTTTTGAACTACAATGTGACCGACGCATAAAGTCGACTATCTGTTCATGTAGTTCTTTTTGAGAAAGACATTCAGGGTGTAAAAGGAGCAATTATTCAGTTATTTGGTGTACCGGTATTCTCAAAACTTACATTTTCAACCCTTTATGTCATAAATGATGACTTACAGTCAAAACGAATTAGAATCAAGTCGCCCAACATTTTAGTGATAGGGAACTATTAATCATCAAGATTAATCTCAATTAAGATTTAAACGGCACATATGCTCCTGGAATATGTATTTTAAATAATTATTTCCATAATAAGTATAATTATCGAAATGATTTATTAATCGAATTGGTACTCAAACATAAAACCACCAATCTTGCGTCATCAGTGTATTCATGTGTGTATGGTGTGACAGGTGTTATCAGTTGTAAACACCAGTCTCCGACAGCTCCCTGCTGCCCACAGACCCGTTTGAGTCGGTACTTTATCTCTCGTCCGACAACTGGGTGACCCCTGTCTGTACGTCTCGAGATCTTGCATTCACTAGACACGCTTTAAAGCACCTGTTCCGGTTAGTTTATATTATACTAAATCATTTTCATCTAAAGTCGTCTATTTTGAAACATGTCTTTTTTTGGAAGTTATCGTTGTTCCGACCCAGTTAAGAAATACGTATGCCTTCACCCCCAAACTCCGCAATGTCAGCACAGACTAAAGGTGAACCGATTGAAACATGTTTTTCCTGGAAGGTGTGGTGATTTCTACCTCACCCGATTAACAAAGACATATGCCTCCACTCCCAAACTCCGCCATGTCAACGTAGGCTAGGGTTGGCCCACTGAGACATTGATATAAACACGCGTTCAGGGTCCTGTGCACATTAGTATGTTGGGTTATTTCCGTTAAATCTTGTCAGCTGAACGTTGATGTTATTTGTTAGACGTTTACTGCTGTGGTAAAATCCACGAGATGGTGCTGACAAACCAAGAATTATTAAATCAGTGTGAATCTTGGATTCGAACCCACGAACATACAGGATACTGACGCGGCTAAGGGGCGCAACCCTGTGCGCAACAAATTCCGGCACCTTGCATGACTGGGGCCACCTAGTTTTAACCCAGGGGTTTGATTGCGTTGAATTCTCTGCGCGCTGATGGCACGCACGCTAGTACATGCTATCGTGTGTATCTCCATGGTGCTCTGGGAGCAATAACCTTTAGAGTGAGAGATATGCAGTTCAGTCAACTAAAAGTTGCTTGTCAAACGACGTGGCTTAAGTATATACTTTGCCCGGTGATGTAGTTACTGTATGTATTCGGTCTTCATTGTTTCATATGTTTATTTGTAGCTCGAATTTATCACGAAAAAGTACAGATCAATTATAATATCCATTTTTAAAAATATTCTCTTGGCCTGTTTGTGGTTTAACGCCGCACTCAGCAATATTCCAGCTATATGACGGCGGTCTGTAAATGGTCGAGTCTGGACCAGACAATCCAGTCATTGACATCATGAGCATCGATCCACGTATTTGGGATACGATGACAATGCATCAACCAAGTCAGTGAGTCTGACCACCCGATCCCGTTAGTAGCCTCTTACGACAAGCACAGTTGCACAACATGGGTTGCTGAAGACTATTCTAACCCAGGATCTTCACGGGTGTTTGGTTTGGTTTGGTTTGGTTTGGTTTAGTGACGAATCCGGTTTCCATCATCGAAGGACATCTGTGCGGATCTGTGTGTATCGGCTACAGAATAAGCGCTATACCGGATGTTGCGTACCGGAAGTCGTCAGATGTGGTATGATGTAAGGGAGGAATGTCTCATGGGCGACAAACAGATCTGGTTCATACCCCGAACCACTTAACAGGTTGCGTTACCGCGAGGACGTCCTCACGCTGACTTAAACCTGCAAGAATAAAGCGCCATTTTTCAGTATGACAAAACGTATCCACATGTACCACGACCTTGTACTGTTCATCAACATGCTGCATTGACCGTCAAGGTCACCGGATCTCAACCCAATATGCAGTATCTGAGGGATGA